ACTGTAGAGGTACGGCAGACAAAGACCATCTACAGTATCTAATGAAAGTGTAAAAACCTATGTCATTGTCCACAAAACCCCCATAAGAAAAATACTACGTTCATATTCAGGAGGCACATACGTTTCTATAAATTTTTGTACCAAACAAACTCGCTTTTCATATAGTTAATAATATTCTGAAATATGTACCTATTGTAAGGTTGCTAAAGATCTCACAGTATAATTAGGAAAAAGAATGCCTTAATGGTCAGCGATTTGAATCCCAGACCAGAAAAATGTCAAATTCAAATTTTACCCAAATTAAAGAGATTTAAATTTTTAAAGGCACCTGTGGATCGATTACTTATGTCATCACAGCGGAAGTTGAGCGACCATGGAAAGTTAACAAAACATCCTCTATTACACTATCAGGTACGGTAAAATTATATGAAATATAAAAGAAATTTGTAGAAAAAATAAAACTATTTGACTCGTGTATTCTACAAATTCATCAAAAATTTTGAACAAGACAAAATTGTGAAAATCGTAAGAAAATAAAACTATTTAACAGTCCTTATATTAAACTTTAAGTGTACATTCTGTGCAGTGCTATACATATAGCGCTGGTCTAAATAAGCATCTAGCCAATCACGACATTGAGCTCCGCCCCTTTTCGCTACAACGACGAATAAACCTTCATTGGCAACTAAAATACAATATTTCTTAAAGTGGACTATATATTTTAGATCTTAATAATTTAGCCAACTAAGACCTTTCTAGTTTGCCCTGTTTCCGATCTCAATCTTATTCCCGAAGCTATCCGTCCAGCATCTGCTTGCAAATTTCGAAAAACTGGATGCATGTTTCTCCGCCATGGGAAAATATGTGTGCAGGTGATTTCCTTCACTTCCTTGCCTTGTACAGTTGAATTAATGACGTCATTCTCCCCCTACCCAACTTCTGTCATTGATTTTTTGATTTCTTTTCCAGATGAAACTCGCCCGGTCGGGGTACATCCCAGGAGACACAGTTGAAGCTATGATTGAGGTCAACAATGACACCAAACAGCCAGTGGTAAAGGTAAACGGTTTAATGGGAGACTAGGCTACGGTATTGATTATCGATTTTTGCAGCTTGATCTACGACTCCGTAGAGTAGACAACTATACTGCATACCGTAATGGTAAAACTTCGACTAACAACGAAAAGAGGTGTAACAGAC